ATTGCTTTTTGGGTTGTGTATTGGATGTCGTATTCGGTCAAGATCATTTTCCACCTTTCTATCCTTCCGGAGAGAGCAAGCTTCTCGAAAATGTACTTGACTGGATCCATCTTTGATATCAACAAGGTAGTGTGAGTCAGCATATACTGTCTCAGTCGGCGAGCAACCCATGCCAAAGCGCAGCAAGTTTTCTCGAGCAATGAGTATCGTGTCTCACAGTAGGTAAACTTTTTGCTAAGGTAGTATATTGCATGCTCTTTTCGACCAGACTCGTCATGCTTCCCCAGCACACACCCCATTGAATTGTCTAGCACTGTTAAGTAGGTCTTCCTTCAACTGGAGGCATCAGAATTTGTGGTTCTTAAAGGTATTCCTTGATTCTTTCAAAAGCGGCATGGCATTCATCATTCCATTTTACCACTTGATCTTTCTTTAGAAGCTTGAAGATTGGCTCACAAGTAGCCGTCATATGTGAAATGAACCTGGCGATATAATTCAGGCGTCCCAAGAAACCTCTAACCTCCTTCTCTGTACGGGGAGCTGGCATTTCTTTTATAGCCTTTACCTTTGCAGGATCTACTTGGATGCCTTTGTCGCTGACAATAAAACCCAGAAGTTTACCAGACCTTACCCCGAAGGTGCACTTGTTCAGATTCAACCTCAACTTATATATCTTCAACCTGTCGAACAACTTTTGTAGATGATCAAGGTGCTCTTCCTTAGTTTGAGACCTGGCTATCATGTCATCAACATAAACTTCGATATCATGGTGAATCATATCTTGGAACAAAGCGACCATGGCGCGCTGATAAGTTTCCCCAATATTCTTCAACCCAAAAGGAATTACCTTATAGCAGAAGGTTCCCCACTGCGTGACGAAGGTTGTCTTCTTCATGTCTTCAGGAGCCATCTTGATCTGGTTGTAGCCAGAGAAACCATCCATGAAGGATAACATTTTGTGTTGTGCGGTGTTGTCAACCAGAAAGTCAATGTGAGGAAGAGGGAAGTCATCCTTGGGGCTTGCCCTGTTTAGATCTTTGTAATCCACACAAATCCATACCTTAACGTCGTTCTTAGGTACCGAAATGACGTTAGCAACCCACCGTGGATAAGAAGTGACAGCTAAGAATCCTGCGTCGAACTGTTTCATGACCTCTGCCTTGATCTTCTCTAACATTTCAGGGCGCATACGACGGACCTTCCATTTTACTGGAGGACAGTCTTCTTTGGTCGGCAGATGATGAACCATAATATCAGTGTCTAAACCTGGCATGTCTTCATATGACCATGCGAAGATCTCAACATAGTCGTGCAATATTTGTATCAACCGTTGTTTGACCTTAACTTCCAAATTTGCACCAATCTTAACCTTTTTTTGTCTTCCTCTGTACCCAAGTTCACTGTATCAACTGGCTCTTCATGAGGCTACATGGCCCTTTCTTCCTGCTATAATAGTCTAGCAAGTTCTCCAGTCACCTCACAATCATCCTCACCTTCGCCTTCGGCTTGATTGATTGGATTTTCGAAGTCATAACTGGAAATAGCATAAATGTTATCAATGGGATCCATAGCGGATATGGATCTGCAATATGATACACGAGTGTGTGTAAGAGAATAGTTGTTTTGATAAAGTGAAAACAAAAAAGAAAAAACAGAGAGCGCAAAGTTTATATGTAAGAAACGTCCAGTGCTTTATTAATGATATATGAAATGACAAATAATAGCCCTCACAAGCAAAGCCAATGTGCCTCGGGCAAGGCAGAAGGCCATAAAGTTTTAAATTGATTATTACAAATCTCAAAACAAGTAAGACAATTACTGTGGAATAAAAGAAACTAGTATAAAGTCCCTAGCCGTCCAGTTACTCGGTCCACCGTTGGTAGTTGGGTAGATCCAACTGTCAATGTCTGAGTCTTCCTCGCTGTCTTCAATGGCATTAACCCCACGATTGTTGATGCGTAGGGGAGGTCCTCCAGCCCGAGCGCGTCGAACAGCCCTTTGAGCCCCTATAATAAAGCCCAAACCAAATTTTTCAGTTTTGTGAGTGAAATTAGGGAGCCGACCCCAATTGGTACACCCACCTTCTTCTACCACGGCCCTGGCGTCCTTGAGAGAAGCCATCTTCAGAGGAGGTTTGCTGCTAGTAGTAGTTTCAGTCAATGCCAAGATCTGAGGGACCTCTTCGAAGTTCTGACAAGGAGTTTCTATGAATTCCCCGTCCATCTCTACGTACCGGAAGGAATTGAGGTGGCTCACCATATACTCCTCTTTACCCCGCACAGTGACAATCTTCCCTTTTACCGGATACTTCAGCATTTGGTGTAGTGTGGAAGTAACTGCCCCAGCCTCATGGATTCAAGGATGACCCAACAAGCAAGAATATGACGGCCTGATGTCCATCACATAGAAGGTGGACCCAAAAGTATGAGAACCCACTTTTACAGGGATGTCCACCTCCCCGTTCACCATTCTCTTAGACCCATCAAAAGCCCTTACCACAATGTTACTAGGCTTTAAAGTCAAACCCTTGCAATCCAACCGGTCCAACGCCTTCTTCGGTAGAACATTCAGTGAAGACCCAGTATCTACTAACACATGAGCCATAGTGGTGCCCCTACATTCAATCGAGACATGCAGATTATCATTATGCTTCCTTCCCTTCGGTTTCAAGTTTGCATCTGAAAAACCCAGCCCATTGTCAGCAGTCAGGCTGGCCATGCAATCTTTAAATTGATCAGTTGAAGTCTCTTGCGGCACATGTGCAGTTTTGAGGAATGCAATCAAAGCCTTTGCATGGGCCTTAGAGCACAACAGCAGGGATAACATGGATATCTTTAAGGGGGTCTGCCCCAGTTGCTCGACCACATTGTAGTCGCTCTTCTTAATTATTTTCAATATTTCCTCTATCTCTTGCTTAGAGGCATCCACAACAATTTTTCTAGGCGCCTCCGTCCGGGCAGGCTCACCTATAACTTCTTTGTCGCGGGTATCAGACAATTCGCCGGCAGGGGTAATAACTGGAGTAAGAACAGGAGTCGTAGTTGATGTACCAGCAAGAACAGCAGATGGAATGACAATAGGCTTGTTGACAGTCTTAGGGGAAATCTAGGGAGAGAAAACCCTTCCACTTCGGGTAACCTTGCTGGTTCCAACAATGTTACCAATATCAGGATCAGCCTCTTTATTTTTCAAATCTTATTTGATGCCATGATAGTACACATCGGCACTATAATTCCAGGGGACAGCTTTGTCTGAGACATACGGGACAGGACCAGGAATAGTGATTATTAGCGGAGCGATCCTTGGAGCAGATGTAATCTTAATAGGTCTTCTCGAGGATAACTTGGAAGGATTGGCGGAAACGGTTATAATGGAAATGTCTTCAGACAGAACAATGGGAATCAAATTTTTTTTGAACAAAATTTCTTTGTTGTCCATCAGGCGTTGAACACCTGACTTCAGCAAATGGCAACCAGAAGGTAGAAATGAACACATGTGGCAACCTTCACCACAACCCAGAAATAAACCGGCTAACAGCAAATTCTTCTTCACAGTCATGAGAGGAGTAGAAACTTCATCCACCAAGGTTACAAACAAGTCGGTATCAACAACATTAACTCCACGACCGTTCTTAGGCATGGGAGCAGTTATGACCTTAGGTTTTTCTGGAGCGTCGAACTCAATTTCCTTGGCTTCGATCGAATATTGTACCTTATTTCTTATATCCCAGCAGTCATTAGTATCGTGGCTAGGACTCTCGGAATGATAGGCACACCGAGCATTTGGATTATATCGGGGAGATGTGGTATTTGGATTTTTGGGAGCCTCTTTCAAGGTCGCCAAGTTGGATCTCAGCAGATGAGGTAGAACTTCAGCCAACGTCATATTGATTCGGGTAAACTTCCGTTGTAGCCTTTCCAACCTTGGTTGATTGTTGCATTATGGAGCGGCTGCAGGACTAGGTATCATTACGGCACTTACTGTCTGACGATGTTCAGCTCTACTTTGGCCCCTCGGGCTGTAGATGGCACTGGCTTCCTTCTTTCCAGCGAAAGGCTTCTTTACCGAACTCGAAGAGGCATCCTTCTGTATCTTGCCACTCCGAATCCTAGCTTCTACTCTCTCTCCAGTCAGAATCAGCTCAGTGAACCCAACTGACGAGCTGCCGATCAAATGATTAAAGAATGGGCCAGATAGCGTCCCCAAAAACATATCAACCAACTCCCTATTAGACAATGGGGGTTGGACTCTTCCAGCCAAGTCTCTCCACTTCTGTGCATAGTCTTTAAAGCCTTCACTTGCACCCATGGACATACTCTGGAGTTGAGTACGAGTAGGAGCAAGGTCGGCATTGTATTGATACTGCTTATAGAAAGCAGCAGCCAAATCTTCCTAATTTCGGACATTGGCTCTCTCCAGTTGATAGGACCATTCAAGTTGGGTCCCTGACAGACTATCTTGAAAGAAATGAACCCACAAATTTCTATCAACAGTGTGGGGCTGGATCTTTTTGACATAAGAGTGGAGATGAAGTTTTGGGCAGGACACCCCATCATACTTTGCAAAAATTGGAGCTTTGAACTTCTGCGGGATGACAACTTCCGACACCAATCCCAATTCTTTGAAATCTAGCCCAGGTATCCTCTGGACTTCCATAGCACTCAAGCAATCTTCCAAATTCCTGTATCTATCCTCAGCAGAAGGATACTGCTCATCATTGTAGTCAGTATCATTGTCAGAAACTTCAGGACTAGGATCCTTCTCCCTTGTTTCTTCTTCTTGATTCTCCCCTTCTTTGGATGAAGACGTCAGATCGACTTGTCGCTTCAACATCCCTCCAAACCTTCTGCCCATATTCAGAATACCGGCAACCTTCTTCTTTTTCTTTTTCTCTTTCAGGATGAGGGCCTTCAGATCCTCCTACCCTTTTTCCAGACTTATGAACATTTGTTGGAACTGGGAGTTTTGTGCCTAAAGGTCCTTGATGCTTTGTTCGGAAGTCATTTCTGCTGAAATAAACAGCGAAGAAGATGAGAAACCTGTAATGATACATGTATATGCAATGTTATGAATGGGATGCACATGCAATGATTTTAAAGACTTTGGGATATTTAAATTTGCGAACCAAAATAAAACAAAGATTTTATTAGCTAAATTCAAAGTTCAAATGCATTTTAGGCGTTACAATTAAAAACAAATCTAAAACTAGAAAAAATCAAAATTCCCATGGATGCTTCCTCTTCGTGCCGAGATAAGAATTGAGTCCTCTTTCCTCACGGAGCTGCTTTGTGAGCTCTAAAACCTTCCTCTCTTGAGCATAGAACTGATCCCTGTAAGTATCTCGCTCCTTCTTCAACTGAATCTAAGACCTCTGTAATTCTCCAAGATCAGTGGGCATATCAGGATAGAGAACCGTGTAAGGAATACCCCCTTCAATGGTGGGTTCCACAACCACTGGTAAAACGGCCATATAGGGCATCATAAGCTTCTGGGCCCGAGCTCGTACCCATTGGAGGTAAGGTTCCATAGGAATGGAAGCCTTTGGCCCCAAAGCCCTGGCACCAGATCTGTTTACCATACCCTAAGCTCGTATGAACCTCCGGCGATACTCTTGAACATCATCCTCATAGTTGAATACAATGCCTTCGATAAGTAACTCATGGGGACCATCTCTTAGAGCGTAACCAAATTGTCGCAGAGCTAAACAAGGATTATAGGTTATACCTCCTCTGATGCCAAGTAACGGGACATTAGGGTACTCCCTGCAGCCGTCAATAATAGTAGTGTTTTCCATAGCTCGGGAATACCAGAGAATATCCATGTGGGCGAGTGACATTATCCTTTGCGACCAACCCAAACTTTCTTCATTCTTCAGTACGGGCTTAGGGAGGTGAGAAATAAACCACCTCGACAGCAATGGCATGCAGCATATAAGAACCCCTCTTCTCTTTATGGTACGGGTATGGAGAGTGTGCAAAATATCTCCGAGCAAGGTATGCACAGGGTTGCGAGAGAGAAAGATCTTGATAGCATTCACATCTATGAATGAGTTTGGATTAGGGAATAGTACTAACCCATAGATTAGAAGATCTAATACCTCCTCAAAAGCCTGAAAATCCATATCATCCCAAAACAGCTGGGCCTTGTCTATCAGGAACTTGGCTAGAAAACCCTTGACTCTGCTTCTTGTTTCCCAATTGGATACCACATCGGCCCATTTCAGATGCAAAGCTAAGGCAATGACTTCTGGCTTAGGAACTTCTTCCAGACCTGTGAAGGGCAACTGTTCAAGGATGGGTATATCCAACAGCTGAGAGAATTCTTCCATGGTAGGCACCAACTGATAGTTTGGGAAAGCGAAGCAGTGGTGCTTGGGATCAAAGAACTAAAAGAGTACACTCACCATCTTTTCATCAAAGTTTGAAGTAACCAGGTTGAGAAGTCGACCATGTCTCTTAGTGAACGCAGAAGTTTCGGAAACCTTTGATATTAGCTCTATGAGTTGGGAATGTATCTTCACAAAGCTGATTCGGATAGTGTTTCTACAAATGGAAGCCATGATCTGTAAAGCAGAACAAAGATAAATCCCCTTGGTCTTTGAAATGGTTAGTGCAATAAGAATGGATGCTATGTTATGATGCATGATGTCATGATAAACCACAGGTATAGCAAACACAGACAAATCACACCAAGTTCTTAAGTTTAATGCTTGCATGAGGTTAAAGGTCATACCCCCTTGAAATTTAGTTGGTTTCAAACCTGTCTTAAAAAGTAATCGGGTTCTAAAGATTCTCAATATCACTGACCATCCTTTATCGGGCATTGTCTCAGCTCAAGCAATCTTTTCTTGCGGCCGAAATATCCCAAAAGCCTGATCTCAATGAGTGTAGCATCGAGTATCAACCAATCCTCAACTCTATACCGAGGCTTGCTATCTCACTACTTTCTAATGGCTAAGTTTGTTCAACTAAGGTTCTAAGGTCCGTTAGTGCTTCACGACACCACGCGGCAGTCCCGTATTCTCTTCATTTCTCCATGAAGGATACTGGTACCAACCAAAGTTCCACACCAACAGAGCCATCTCTTAAACCATATCAGTCTACGTCGTACAGTCTCCACGATCTATTGATGTTTACCTAAAAAGTGCCCCCAGATCCGGGCGTAGGATCTATAGTAACCCAAGCAAAATCCTTTAAGAATAAAGCAAACAAACAAGAAATCAATTTTGAAATGACCTAGATCCTAAGGCAAACCCCAATTTATTTTATTCCCCAGCAGAGTCTCCAGTTCTGTGATACGGTGGCAGAACAGACTGTTATACTGGTTTGTATTTTGCATTTTTTGTTCACAAAATGTTGCGGTAAGCAAGAGTCGCCACCGAATTTTATTTCATCCAACTAAGGAAAAGGAAAAAGAACAGAAAAAACCTTTTTCGAGAATATTTCTGAGTACGGGGGTAGATTATAGAAAGGGAAGGTGTTAGCACCCTTTCTATCCATGGTTTTCCATGGGCTCTTAGGTCCTTTCTCATTTTAAAATTGCTTGTGTGTGTGCTTGTTTTGAAAAAAAGTTTACTTCGTCATAACCCTTGTATCAGTCATCAAGGATGTGACGAAGTTGTTTTGAAAATTGTTTTGAAATAAAGTGTTTATGTGAAAAGTTTATTTGTTTGAGCAAGTACTTAAGGGTTTTCTACCTACTTGAAAAAAGTTTGTTCATTTTCCTTTTGACAGCGCTATCCCATTATTAAGGAATAGGTAGCACCGTCGTTGGAGTTTTAAGGGACATTTGAAGGGATAGATACGGTCACAAAAGCAATGTTAGGAGGTCTTAGTAATCATCCTAAAACCTTAAAGATATTTTCTGAGGCAACATCCGAATGGGTCATTTTTAGATCTTTTGGGGCTAGAGGACGACCACTAACAAAACCTATACGTCATGAGCGTTTAACCGAAGGCAACCGAAGTGGAGTAAACCCTAGGAGTGAGCATGTGCGAGTGAGCTTTTTCAACTAATTTGTCTTTGCACATTTAGGATTTTCTACCGTTTTAATTTTCAAATATTCTTGCCATACAATCCTATTAGCATACATCTAACAGTTTATAATTGCGGAAATTAAAGTGCGGAAATAGAAATCCTAACTATTACATGGCTTTCACAGATACAGAATTGTTTTTACTGAAAATAAAATGCGGAATTAAAACCTAATTAAAGTTATTACAACCTCGGAGAAATTATAAAAATAATTCAAAAAGTAATTGAAATACGCGCGACGAATTAAATGCAAGGACGATTAGAAAACCTAAAAAATCTAATTTGAGAAAAAATATTTAAGTTATTTTTGAAGAAAAAATTAATTATATACAAAAATTAAACCCTAAATTCTAATTGATTTTAATTATAAAAAGGAGTTAAATTAACCTAATTTGAATTTAATTAATTAATTAAAGAAAATAAATATTTTGTGAAAAAAAATGATTTTTTGTGTTTTTTATGATTTTGATTAAAAAATTATAATTTTGATGTTATTTTAAAAAAGAAATATAATTAGGAAATAATTAATAAGAAATAAAAATAATAAATAAAGAAGAAGAATGAGCCTGTTTAAGCAATTGGAGGGGTGCATTGTTAAAATTATTCCAGTCCCACCAAGCTGAAGCCCAGTCAGTGCCTGATCCAGTGGTGCTCCCTCCTGATGGTGCACCATGGTCTCTGGCAGGTAGAGGCGTTGGATCTGGTTAATCATGAATCCTGTGGCTGGCTGTTGATGGCGCATAAAGGAAAATAAAACAAAGAAAGTTGTTGGGACCTGGGATCGAACCCAGGTCCTCTACCCTTTCCAACACACGTCCTTGCCAGCTGCGCTACATGTTTTAGTTGTTACTATAATGAAAATAATATATAACATATGCAAACAAGGTGAATTAATGGACAAAACAAAAAAACGCGCGCTGGTTTGAATGGTCCAGTCGTTGGCTGCCACGTTATTGTCTTCTTCCTTCTGTCGTCGTATTAGGCATGTAACCTATACCTACGGACAACGCATGTAACTAAAACCCTACAAACTTCCAAAATCCAGGACAGGCATGATAAATCAATTATGGATACATAAATCAATTTGTTTTGACCTCATGAGTACGATGGTACCCTTTGTGTAGGCCAATTTCACCTGTATCAAGAAGCCCCAAAACGGCTTCTCAAACCCTAATAATGGTAACTCTGGATATAAGCATCAAAACGCAAAATCAAGTAAACCAAAATGTTCTAAAAGCTCATCCAAACACAATGCTACGTTCAATAAAGGTTAATCATATATAAATTGCAAAATACGATTCAAGTTAGGGAAAGAAAATCATGGGTCTGTGTAGCGGTGAAAATCGGAGATCAAGCTATTAATTAACTTGACTCACAAAAGCAAGAGTCACCACCGCGCTTTATTATTTCCAAGGGAAAAGGGAAAAGAGAGAAATAAAACCCTAAAATATGAAATGTAAAGTAATATTTAGAAGTAATGAAAATACAATGCGTTTTTTTAAAAGAGATCGAGAGTTCGGGGGTTGGTTATACAATGGGAAGGTATTAGCACCCAATGCATCTGCGGTACTCCGCAGGAACCTTTTGAAATATCTGTTTTTTTTGGTTAAAATTGTTTGTTTGATTAAAATGGTTCGTTTGGCTAAAAATAGGTGTTGGCGAGATTTTGAAGATGTGATAACCTAATGTCGAAGTTTTGACTTAAAAGGTATGAGTTTGAAAATGGAGTCTTTTGGGAAAATTATCTTAAGTTTGGAAAAATAGTAAACAAGCAAAAAAATGAATGAGGCTATTCGCACGATTGTAGAATACGTATTTGATGACATGAAGTCAGCTGAGTTGAAACATTTCCCTTGGATTAAATCGAGCGAGCAAAATAAAATAGACGTCAAAATATAAGCAATCAAAATTTCACAAGAAAATAAATATAACTAAACAGATTAATGACCTAAAGGCATCGAGAAATTAAAATGACAAAGATATTTAAATAAAATAAAAGAGAATATAACTAATTATCTAAATAAGTTATTTAAACTAAATTAAAAATTTAAGATTACTTACTAAAAAAAAATTCTAAACTAACTACAAATTCTAAGGTTGCAAAAATAGTCTTAAAATTACTAAATTAGATCTAAGTTAAATTAAACATTTTAAAATTAGTAAATTAAATCTAAACTAAATAAAAATCCCAAGGTTGCTAATCTAAAACAAAAAAGTTCCAAAGTTACTAAACTAAATCTAAATCAAATAAAATTTTAGAATAATATTAAACTAATTCTAAACAACTAAAATTTTAAACTTATTAAACTAATTCTAAATCAAATAAAAATTATAAATTCATTAAACTAATTCTAAATCAAATAAAGTTCTAAAGTCCCTAAACTAAACTAACAACTAAAATTCTAAAGTTAACTTAAATAAAATCAAATAAAATTCTAAAGTTTACTAAATTAAAACTAAAACAAATAAAATTCTAAATCTAAATGAAATAAAATCCTAAAGTTACTAAAATAAAACTAAACAAAATAAAATTCTAAAGTTTACTAAGTCAAAACTAAAACAAATAAAACTCTGAAATTTACTAAGTCAAATCTAAATGAAATAATATTCTAAAGTTACTAAAATAAAACTAAACAAAATAAAATTCTAAAGTTTACTAAGTCAAAACTAAAACAAATAAAACTCTGAAATTTACTAAGTCAAATCTAAATGAAATAATATTCTAAAGTTACTAAAATAAAATTAAAACAAATAAAATTCTAAAGTTATTAATTATGATTCTAAATATTTTAAAGTTATAAAATAAATCTAAACTAATTAAAAAATTCTAAATTAATACTAACTAAATCTAAATATAAGATTTACTAATATTTTTTTTATATTGGTAGTACATCTTCTACATTATTTATTTGTAAACAACCCAAGTTTAAATGAATGATTGATTTTGATAATAACTAAGGTGAGAGATGTATTGCTAGTAAGTTTTTCACTCTTCGAATAATAATACTAAAACACCTAAAAAAGTGAGATTTTTTACTTTTCTTTCAAAATATGGATTCAACCACTTAGGATTTGACAAGTGGTATGAAATAAAAAAAAATTTAAAAAAAAATGGTATATGATGAAAATATAACTCAAAAGAGAGAAAGAGTCTCCACTCCAAATATAACCTCTTTTCACGATTTGTTCTTCTTCATAGTAATAAAAACTCCCTTTTTCCTTCCAAAGAAATCTCAATCTCTCTTAAAATGTTACCCACGAGCCGATAGCCACACCATTCAAACACACAAAGGCCTGGAAGATTAGAAGAAACAAAAAAAAAGAATGGAAGCCATACGTACCGACGGTGAAGCGGGAGTCGGTTGTTGTTTAGATCTGGTGGTGCAGTGGTTGTACGATGGAGATAAAGGGTGGGATTGAGGTTGGTTTGTTGGAGAATCGGACAGTAACATGGGGTTAGCGGCGGATCGGATCTCGGCGAGGATGCGGTTGGTTTCTTCGATGACGCTTTGGTTGACGGCGTCGGAGTCGGAAGAACCGAAGTTAACACCGATGGTGCCACGTAGGACGAGGATGGTGACAAAACCACAGAGGATAGTGATTTTAATGTTGTTGAATGTTTTGGAACGGTTGCGGCGGTTTTTGTCGTTGGAATAGGTAGTTGGTAAAGTTCCGTTACTGGTTCTCTTATGAACTGATGAACCATTCTCTCTTCCCATTTTTTGTTCTCTCTATCTATTGGCTCAGTCTGAGTGGAAAAAACACAACACAAGACAACAAATCTGGTTTATCGGATTAGAAAGGAAAAAGATGAAGACAAGAGTTTTCTAATTCGTAGATGGTAGGTGGGTTTGAGGTAATGGTGATGTTGAAATTGAAGGGAGTTTGGCGAAGGAGGATGGTTAAGGTGGGTCACTTTAATGGAGGATGAAGGGGGTTGTTACAGTGGCGAGAGAGAGGGAGTATTACTGTATTGTTTTTTTGTTTTTTTTCTTTTCCCTTTTTTTTTGGATTTCTCCCTCTTTGATCTCTGTCTTGGAACTATTTTATGTCTGAAAACCATATGAAATTTAGGAGGGAAATTTTGATAGGTTGAAATTGTTTGTGGTTCACTTCTTCTTGCTTTCTTGATGCAGGTTGGGGGTTTTCTATTCTTGTGCAAAATAGCAGGACTAGTTTGACGACTGCAACATAGGCTGATTTTGGACAGAATTTACACATTTTTGGGACTGTAAGGTAGAGTTTGTAGCAGCTAGTTTTGTTATTGCTGCAAAAAGAATCATGAACTTGTCCTATGAATAATCGTGTGATGATATTGATGTGGTCCCACTCTGCAATTTTCTTTCTCTATCTTTGACAAAAACAAACAAATAATAACATAATAGTAACAATAATATAAGAAGAAGAAAAAAAGTATTAATAACAATAAATAAAATAAAATAATAAAATACAACAATGATAATAACAATAATGAGAACAAAATAAAAATAATTAGTAACAATAAAAGATGAAATAATAAAATGCAATAAAGATACTAATAATAATAACAATAATGAAAAAAAAAGAGAAAATAGTTAGTAATATCTAAAAGAAATAGAAATAGATAAAAATAAGAAAGAAATAATAATAAGACAGATTTTTGAACTAAAAAAAATTCATTAGAAATATGATAGAAAATGCAAATGATAAACTATTTTAATTTTTTTTTTAAATAGAAATTAAAATGATGAATAAAAAACAAGAAAGTATGCGGAATGATCGATTTTTCAAATTAACGACAAAATATGCACCATTCGAAAAAAGTGAAGGGGCGAAAAAATGGGGTGCGACAGTTGCGCCTTGATGAATCAGTCTTCGAGAATCCACAATCAACCGTACTTCTGGCTTGGGAGACTCAAAACCTTAATTGAGGCGCGACACCTGATGCTCTTGATTCAGACCTGTCTCTGTACATGACACAAAAGAAAACATGAACATACACCTTTGTATGCGATTAGAAATTAGTGATACATATGCTAAAAATGTTTAAAACACTTGACAATCTTCGCATAGTCAAAGCTCGAAGGTGAGACGTTAAAACCGACCGTATTTCGTGACCTTGACTTATCTTAAAAAATGCAAAAATAAAAATGGGATCTTAGGTCAAAAATTGGGGTACAACAGTCTGTAGCGTGTGTTTCTGGGCGTGAAAAGGCTTGCAATTGATCCAGCTATGTTCCTGAGATGTCCAACAATCTGTTGGCAACATTAGAATGGCTTGAATTGGCCTCCAAGCTTGAAACTGATTCACTATATTTTTGCAAAAAAATTGAGTTTGTTCTTATGCTTTCCACAATGCTAACCCCTATTTTCGTGTCTGCTCTTGCTCTCTATATATCCTTGAATGAATTAGGGTTATAAAAACCACTTGTATCTTGAAGTTTTTTTGAAGATTTGATTTTGGTTTTCATCTTGTATGATATCTTTCCAAATTAGGCCTAATCATGTCATTCTAGTGCCAATCAACCTTGATTCGATTTGATCTTGATATGCCAGCATAATTAACTTATGATTCTGTCCAAAAATCATATCAAAACAAATCTTTGCTATTATTTATCATTTATTTGATTTAATTCAATTTTTAATTAATAAAAAATCAAAATAAAATTAAAAATGAAGCAAATAATGTGTGAGTGAATATTTTGGTCGTGGACCATGTTATAAGTGAGATGAAAACATAAAAGGTTAGACCCATTTGGCATAAAATGCATTTTTGAGCCCATTTAACTTTTGGCAATTTTGAAAAAAAGGTCAACTTTGACAAGGCATATCTATTCCAATTTTAACCCTAGAGAGGTGTTATTTGACTTTTTAGAAATCTTAGGATGTCCCCTAAACAACCCTTTTGGTCTCATCTCAATTGGGTCTTCCATGTTCATGTAAGAAGCTTTTCCCCAAAAAGTGTTTTTGTTGACTTTTCAAAAGAACCTATAATGTAGAAATTCATGTCTTTTTGTGAGTGCATATTTTGAACTTGAGATATGATTATGAATTGTAGGGAATTGCATCCTCTTCAAAATGAGCCTTGGATGGAAAATTTCTGATAAAGTATGAGGAAGTTATGCTTGGTCAAAGTTTGGTTGACTTTTCCTAAGAAACCCTAATTTAGCAACTTTTGGGTTTTGATGAATTTAGGGCATTCCTTGAGGAATCATGATCAACCCTTGATCAAATGATGGATATAACTTCAAAATGTTTATGTTGAGCAAAAATATTAAAGTTTGACTGTATGTGGGCCATAGTTGACTTTTGACCTAATACAGTCGATTCTCAAGCATCTGAGCAGTTGACTGAGAAAACTTCTTGTGCAAGGCTTGAAACTTGACTTGGAGGGTCTTGATAACATATTATGACCATGGAGAGTATATGAGGTCTTTGGATTTCACCTATCTTGATAAAAATGGAAACCCTAGTTTGAGGCACATTGCCTTAGGAGAGAGTTTGTCTGGCCAATTCTTGGGCATCCTTGAGCAACTTGAGGATCTCAATGGGAATGTGTTGAGTAAAATAAGAGGGAAACTTTTGGGGTAAAACAGGCCTATTATGCTTAACTTCAGTCCTTGCGTGGGATCCAATCCTGGCTCCTTCTGATGGTGCACCATGGTCCCTCCTTGTTTGGGGCGTTGGATCTGGATAGATTGTGATCCATTGGTTGGATCAATAAGGCGCATGATGGACGCGTGGGGTTATGAAACACTGGATCTGAAAGTGAGAATTAAGAAAATAATGAAAACTTGCTCGTACCTGAGATCAAACCCAGGTCCTCCCACTACCTAGCGTGTACGCTTGCCATCTGCGCTACATGTGTTAGTTGTTATTATAATGAAAACAAACAATATTATATGATAACAAATTGGATTAGTGGGTAAAAAAAATGCGCGCGTTGGTTTGAATGGTCCAGTGGTTGGCTGCCACGTTATTGTCTTATTTGCAGGTTCGTCGTCTTAGATGCATAACCTATACCCACAAACAATATTCCATGGCTAAAACCTGCAAACTTCACAAATCAAAAGCATGCAACATAAATGCAATGTAAGACCACATATCATTTTGTTTTGATCTCACGAACACGATAGTACCCTTTTCTTGGGCTAATTTAACTTGTATGACAAAACCCCAAAACGCAAGGACAAACCCTAATAATGGCAGTCATGGATATACGCATCAAAACGCAAAATTACATAAACCAAAACATTCTAAAAGCTTATAAAAACACAATGATATATTCAATAATGGTTAATCATGTGTAAATTGCAAAATACGATTCAAGCTAGGGGATGCAGACCGTGGGTCTGTAGCGTGTGTTTCTGGGCGTGAAAAGGCTTGCAAATGATTGAGACACGTTCTGGAGATGTCCAGGAAGTGATTGGTAGCCTTGGATTGCTTTGAATTTCCCTCTAGAATGGAAATCGACCCACCACTTTTTCTCCAATTTTTGAGTTTGTTCTAGTGTTCTTCACGACTGCAATCCTTATGTTTTTTGCTTGTTCATGCTCTATATATACCCTTGAATGAATTAGGGTTATAAAAACAGCGTGTATCTTTGATGTTTTTTAAGATTTGATCTCATTCTTATTTTGTATGATTTGTTTCCAAATTAGGCCAAATCATGCCACTCTTGCTCCAATCACCCTTGATACGAATTGATCCTGCTATGCCAACATAATTAGATTTGGATTCTATCAAAAAATCAGATCAAAACAAATCTTTGCTATTATTTGTCATTTATTTGATTTAATTTGAATTTTTAATAATAAAAAATCAAAATAAAATAAATAATGAAGAAAATAACATGTGGGTAAGTAATTGGGTCGTGGACCATGTTATGAGTGAGGTGCAAGCATAAAAAGTTAGGCCCATTTGGCAAAAAATGCATTTTTGAGCACATTTGACTTTTGGCAATTTTGCAAAAATGGTCAACTTTGACAAGGCATATCTCTTCCAATTTTAACCCTAGAGGTGTTATTGTACTTTTTATAAAGCTTAGGATGTCACCTAAACAACCCTTTTGGTCTCATCTCAATTGGGTCTTCCATGTTCATGTAAGAAGCTTTGACCCAAAAGTGTTTTTTGTTGACCTTTCAAAAGGACCTATAATGTAGAAATTCATATCTTTTTATGAGTGCATATTTTGAACTTGAGGGATGAATATGAATTGTAGGTAATTGCATCCTCTTAAAAATGAGTCTTGGATGGAAAATTTTTGATAAAGTATGAGGAAGTTATGCTTTGTCAAAGCTTGGTTGACTTTTCCTGAGAAACCCTAATTTAGCAACTTTTGAGTTTTGATGAATTAGGAGCATTCCTTGAGGTATCATGATCAAACCTTGATCAAATGATGAAAGTCACTTCAAAATGTTGATGTTGACCAAAAATCTTGAGGTTTGACTATATGTGGGCCACAGTTGACTTTTGACCTAATACAGTCGATTCTCAAGCATTTGAGCAGTTGACTGAGCAAACTTCTTGTGCAAGGTATGAGATTTGACATGGATGACCTAGAGAGCATATTAGGACCATGGGAAGCATTTGATTCCTTTGGAGTACACACGTCCTGATGAAAATGGAAACCCTAATTTGAGACACATTGCCTTAGGAGAGAGTTTGTCTGGTCAACTCTTGGGCATCCTTGAGAAAATTGAGGATCTCAATGGGCATGTGCTGAGTAAAATGAGAGGGC